CCTGCTTCCTCCTCTCTCTCTGCCTGCCTCTCTGCCTACTTGCGATCTCTCTCTGTCAAATAAATAAATAAAATCTTTTAAAAAAAAAGGAACTGGACTGGCAGATTTGAAAAATTGATGATACTTATTACTAAGTGGAAGGGAAATGGACACTCATAGTATGACATAGAAAGAATGAAAAAATATGTGTAAAGTGTTTATAATAGGACCAAAAATAGCTAGAGAGAACCTAAATATCCTTTAGCAGGTTAAATAAATTATCGTGCGTTCACACAATGGCACTAAAAACCCACTAAAAATGGGGATGCCTGGCTGGCTCAGTTGGAAAGCATATGACTCTTAACCTCAGGGTCATGAGTTCAAGACCCATGGTGAGTGTACAGGTTAGTAAAAAAATAAACGAACATTAAAAAAATAACTTTTTAATTAAAAAAACACTAAAAATGAAGGTAAAATTCTATTTGATATTGTGGAAAGATGATCACTACAAATTGTCGGGAGAAGGTAGGTTAGAAAATAATTTTGGAGGGCACCTGAGTGGCTCAGTGGGTTAAAGCCTCTGCCTTCAGCTCAGGTCATGATCCCAGAGTCCTGGGATCGAGCCCCGCATCGGGCTCTCTGCTCAGGGGGGAGCCTGCTTCCTCCTCTCTCTCTGCCTCTCTGCCTACTTGTGATCTCTATCTGTTAAGTAAATAAATAAAATCTTTAAAAAAAAAAAAAAAGAATTTGGGGGGCGCCTGGGTGGCTCAGTGGGTTAAAGCCTCTGACTTCAGCTCAGGTCATGATCCCAGGGTCCTGGGATCAAGCCCCATATCTGGCTCTGCTCGGTGGGGAGCCTGCTTCCCCCTCACTCTCTGCCTGCCTCTCTGCCTACTTGTGATCTCTGTCAAATAAATGAACAAAATCTTTAAAAAAAAAAAAAAAAAGAAAAGAATTTTATACTGTAATTGTATATTTGACAGAAAAACTACATACATACACATACATGTACACACAGGTTCATAAAACAATCTGGGAATGGAGTTAGAATAAAATTTTATTGTGTTACCTCTACTTAATGATATCCCAGGTGATCTTTATCTTGTTCTCTAACAGTTTGTATCACATACCTGGACATAAATTTAAAATAGTTCTGCAAGAAATATTATATTACAAAAAGCCCCAAAAGTTACATCATTGCTATCCTTTTCCCTAGCTTCTAAATCTAAAAACTACCTCTCTCAGCTATTTCTTTTGGTATTTAACTCCATACATTTAACATGCTACTATTTTTACTTCTGAACTTTTAGTTTTAGTCATTCTTTGCTGAAATTAAAATAATTTTGTTTTTTGTAAGCTTAATTTTCTAGGAAATTCATTCATTTCTCAAACTCTCACCCAAATCAGGAGGACTGAAGTTTTTGTCATAACAAAGCAGACTGGTCTATTTCATGTTGTGAGAATCCTTCAGAAATTCAGCCAAACACTTCAGAGTGTCACCTATAACCCACCTGGTAAAAGGCAATGCCATATTCTGTAGTGTTCCTCTCTCTGAGATCCTGCCTAACCATGAAGTGAAAAGCTGAGTAATAGCACACAGAAAGCCTGTTGAAGTAATTGCTCAGGCAGTTTGAACATTACTGCCCAACAGCTTACTTCTTATGTGATTTATAAAACATCCATAAAACAGAATACTAAAGTTATCATTAAATACTAAGTTCTAGAAAACTGTTAAGGAATAGAAAGTATTCAAGATACACTGAAAGAAAAAAAAAAATCAGTTTATAAAACAATATATAATATGATTAGTTATTTTAAATCATTAATGTGAAACAGACCTCAGTAGATGGGGAAAAATTTCCCTATTTCCATTCTGACACTTACAGTAAGTCTCTCAATTTAAATGCTATTTCTATCACAAGAATTATAATTACTTGGAAGATTTCTCAAATAAGAAGGGGAATGCTGGGATTTTACCTTTCTCCATATACCCATTATAAAATCCATGAGGGTACTGAATGTCTCTCAAACTAATAACTAGTTTGATTTCTTTTAAATTTTGATTTCTTTTAAATTTTCTATTAGGGTTATCCCATTATTTGGAAATAAAACCATACACAAAAACACATGCTTGTAGAAATATTTTGAGAAAATATGCTATAAATATTAAGTGATTATTTCTGGATGTTGAGACTATGGATAATTTTAATTTCTTCTCTTTTAGGTCCCTTGGTTACTTATTATTTTATAGGCCCGCATTAACTCCACTAGAAATATTGTTTTAAAAAGCCATTCCCCAGGGCGCCTGGGTGGCTCAGTGGGTTAAAGCCTCTGCCTTCAGCCCAGGTCATGATCCCAGGGTCCTGGGATCAAGCCCCGCATCGGGCTCTCTGCTCAGCGGGGAGGGAGCCTGCTTCCACCTCTCTCTCTCTGCCTGCCTCTCAGCCTACCTGTGATCTCTGTCTGTCAAATAAATAAAATCTTAAAAAAAAAAAAAAGCCATTCCCCAGGGGGCACCTGGGTGGCTCAGTGGTTTGGGCCTCTGCCTTCGGCTCAGGTCATGATCTCACAGTCCTGGGATGGAGCCCTGCATTGGGCTCTCTGCTCAGCGGGGAGTCTACTTCCCTCTCTCTCTCTGCCTGCCTCTCCGCCTACTTGTGATCTGTCAAATAAAAAAATAAAATTTTTTTTTTAAAAAGCCATTCCCATTAAAAAGAATTTTTTATTTCTCACAGTCATTTTTCATTTCTTATAGTCATTAAGAAACTGTCATTAAATAGGCCTACATAAATGGTAACAACAAGGAAATCAATGTGACTGAAAGAATAATTCCTACCAATTCTTTCTTTTAAATTCCTACCAATTCTTGAATACTGTCTCTCATCAATACCTGAGATCCTTCTGTGAAGGACTGCAATGCTTTTCCAAAGTGATTATGAGAGAGAAAAACAAATGCTTATTTCACAGCAGCTGCTCAATAACTTGAGCTTAACCCTCCCAGTCTCCAATGAATACTCCAGTTATTAAATCCCTGCAATGTGGGCACCTGGGTGGCTCAGTGGGTTAAGCCTCCGCCTTCAGCTTGGGTCATGATCTCAGGGTCCTGGGATCCAGCCCCGCATCTGGCTCTCTGCTCAGCAGGGAGCCTGCTTCCCCCACCCGCTCTCTCTGCCTGCCTCTCTGCCTACTTGTGATCTCTGTTTGTCAAATAAATAAGTAAAATCTTAAAAACAAACAAATAAATAAATAAATCCCTGCAATGTAGCTTATAAATTGTGTTTAAGATGCATATATAACTTAACAATTTCTCAAAGATTTTTACTCATAAAGATACTTTTCGTGGTTTAAGGGGGTAGGAGAAGAGTAAATGAAACAAGATGGGATTGGGAGGGAGACAAACCATAAGTGACTCTCAATCTCACAAAACAAACTGAGGGTTAATGGGGGGAGGGGGGTGGGGGGGGTGGGATTATGGACATTGGGGAGGGTATGTGCTATGGTGAGTGCTGTGAAGTGTGTAAACCTGGCGATTCACAGACCTGTACCCCTGGGGATAAAAATATATGTTTATAAAAAATAAAATTAAAAAAAATTTTTTTTAATAAATAAATAAAAGATACTTTTCAATATTATATTATATACATATATATTTTCCTGATGATTAAATTACTAATAAATGTAATTTTTAGTATTGCATAACATTCTACCACAGGGATGGAGTGTGAGTTACTTAATCATTTCCATATTGCTACTTTTATAAAAGGTTATCCCAAAAGCCATTCCTAGTTATCCCAGATTTTTATTCTACAGTAGTAAGAATCAATCTTGTTGGGTCTTATATAACTTTGATATCATGAAATGATAGACTTCCCCCCCACCAAATTACCTGCTGACAAATATATACAACAGTCCTATACATAATCTTGGATTTTTGTCATCCTGAAAACCTATAAACAGAGTCCAAAGACTTCACATTAAGAATCTCTCTTTTGCGGGGCACCTGTGTGGCTTAGTGGATTAAGTGTCTGATTTCAGCTCAGGTCATGGTCTCAGGGTCCTGGGATGGAGCTTCCCCCTTGGCCCAACTCTCCCCATGGCTCCAAGTTCACTGGAGCTTCTCCCTCTGCACCACCCCACCACCACTCCTGCACATTCTCTCTCTCTCTCTCTAATAAATAAAATCTTTTTTTAGAAAAAGAATCCCTGTGTTGGTCCATTCCAGTGCCCAGTTGGTCCATTCCATTCCATTCATTTTCCTGCTTGCAAGCATCCATCCTAATTAATCTCACATTTTCGTTACTCTTTTTTTTTTTCTAAGATTTTATTTATTTGACAGACAGAGATCACAAGTAGGCAAGAGAGGCAGGCAGAGAGAGAGGCGGGGCGGGGGTGGGGGGTGGGCAGGGAGCCCTATGTGGGTATGTTGGGCTAGATCCCAGGACCCTGGGATCATGACCCGAGTGGAAGGCAGAGGCTTTAACCCACTGAGCCACCCAGGCGCCCCACATTTTCATTACTCTTGAGAATACAGAAAGCTGATATGGAATGACTAAGAATCATCATTTAAAACCAACAGCTAATATTGTGCCTTCTAATGTGCCTGGTACTCCTCTAAGAGCATTAAGAGATATTAATTTAGGCACTCTTTAAAACCACCATGTGAGGTATATATTATTGTAATTCTGGATTTACAGATGAAGAAACTGGGACTAAAAATATTGCTTAAACTCAGATTTAAGTAGCAAGCAGGATTCAAATTCCTTTAATCTAGGTTCAAAAAAAATTTTTTTAAGATTTTATTTATTTATTTGACAGAGAGAGAGAGAGAGATCACAAGCAGGCAGAGGGAGAGGGGGAAGCAGGCTCCCTGCTGGCTCCATCCCAGAACCCTGAGACCATGATCCCAGCAGAAGGCAGAAGCTTAACCCACTGAGCCACCCAGGTGCCCCTAGGTTCAAAATTCTTAAACACCTTATATACCTGAGTCTACTGAAAACACAGCCCAAACAAATTCATGCTACAAACTTTCAGTCATAAGATGAGTAAGTTCTGAAGACCAAAAGGACAGCATGGTTACTGTATAATACACCTAAGATTTGCTAAGAGAGTAGATCTTAAGTTTTCTCACCACACACAAAAGTAGCTCTGAGGTGATGGACCTTAATTAGTCTGACTGTGGTAAACATTCCATTCCACAATGTATACATATACTGAAGCATGTTGTACACCTTAAATATATATCATTTTGTATTTGTGAAAAATAAGCAAAACAAACCCATGCAACCAAACCTGTAACCACATCTGCCTGGTAGCAAAAATTTACAATCACGGAGTCCCTTGGAAAAAAATCCCCATCCCTAATCTGGAATCACTGAAGGTATCTAAACAAACCCTAAACTACTCCTTAAGAAACCACAGTCGAAAACAAAGCACGAACATTGACTTCCCAAAGCGGTATTTCCACAATCAGAATCCTTAAGAAAAAGTGTCACAAAGCAACTGAATATATAGCATACGGTTAACTAACAGCAGAATTGCACTAAATGGACATGAGAGAGCGTTACCTATTAATTGGGTCCCCTGCCGTTAACTACATAGGGAAATCTTAAAGCCCAAATCGATGAATAGACCATTCTTAAGCAGCACATTCCAAGGGAAGAAAATCAAGAAGCCCAGTGTTCTGAAAATCAAATGCATTTCACGGAAACAAAGAAGCAGCACAAACTCACACAGAACCTGGCTTGCGGAGGCGCCGAGGCGATTTCTTTCACTTCAAAGGCCTTCTCCGGAGACTGGCAGGGCTGGGGAAGCAGACAGTGTTCATTAACACCCCAAGCTTTTCTTGATCGGTTAGAAACCACCCTCCGTGCCCTGCGACCCTCCCTAACCACCAGAGGTATGCACAAACGTAAACGAGAGGCAAACGTGGAAAGGTTTGCGGTCACTCGTGTCCAGGTTCGCGGCTCTGCACGGTAGTTCGGACATCGCTACTGCTCACCCCGTGGGACGGCCCACCGCGTTGTCTTCTGTCCAGCGGATACTCCGGACCTCAGAGGTCAGCCCTGAATCTAGCTCCAGCGTTTTCAGGGGACCTTTATTCTGGGGCTCCACCACCGATTGCCCTCTACCGCCGGGCCTAGGTGGTTGAGAAGACCGAGGAGCGTAGGACCGCAGGGTCTCGCATTGCAGAATAGGCCGCGCCCACAAACCGGGCCCGGCCCCGTTACTACCGCACGAGTTTAAATCCACCCGGTCCGGGTCTCCTCACTCTGGAGGAATCGCCTAGTAGTCCGAGGCCCCAGGACCCACCCCCGGTCTGGTCCGCAGAATCTGGCCCTTCCCGTACTCGTTTCTTTCCGAAAAGCAGCGGCCACAGCAAAGCCTGGCTCCGCGCGCTCCTACCGCGACCGGTTCTGACGACCACCCAGCCTTCAAATCTCCAAGCTTCCAGATCGCCTATCGCGGCACGAGTGCGCACGCGCGCAGGGGGCGGGGACAAGTGTCTTGGTTCTTCAGGAAGGCCTGGCCGGGAAGAATGGGGCAAGGCCGTCAGCTTTCCAAGTGCAGAAGTAGAGTTCCAGCAGGGCCAGGGTTTCTGAAGCCTGCAAAGGTGACCCTGTGAGTGACCGGTGCTACCGAGGATAATCCGAGCCTGTTCGCTTTTTGGAAATGTAGTCCAAAATCACTGTGTATTTTAGCTTTCTACTTTGGGCTCTTGGCTCGGTCCCCCGTTTGTGCCGCGAACACCGCCCTCGAGCACCGAGCGCTGAGGATTCGGGGAGTTGTCGTTTCTGTCCAGAGTACGCAGGCGCGGGAGTAGGTTGGGGGCGGGGCGAACCCTGAGCTTTACTGAGGTTGGGGAGACTCTTGGAGCAACAACCATTGGAGCCTGCGCCTGGCTTGGGGCCTATCCAGGTCTTTATTTAGGCTTGAAGGGATAACCCTGAGTGATAACCAGTGCTCTGCTCATGGTTCATGTGTTGTTTTCTGGGGTACTGGCGTGGAGTCTCGAGTGCCTGAGTGTGTGATCGAAGACTGGGTTTGTTTTTCCTGCTTGGAGCTGTTTTCCTCGCATATGTGCCAGTCTTTCGATGCACCGGGAAGGACTGGGAAGGCGCCACAGAGAACACTGTGCGTGATTATTCCTGACTGTGATGCCAGGTTTGTCTGAAGTCTCTGTGGTTTGTGGCATTAAAAAAAAATAATAAAAGTGAAAGTCCATGGAGTGAATCAGAAGATCTAATTGGCTTTTTTGAACTATTCGTGAGTTGGGCAGTATACCTACTAATAAATAGATATTCCCAGGAGTTTTACAGAATGGAAAATTTTAGAGGCAGGATGGTGGGGCAAGGAAATTATTAGCAGAATAAAAGAAAGGGTTGTTTCACGCCACGTCATCTTTTTGAGGGAAGGGAAGAGACAGGAGTCTTATTTTTCAGATTACCTTTCTAGTGCTAATCAGGAAGTTTCAAATGGACAGTTCAAAGGTCACATATCTGGGAGTAGTTAAAACTGCAGTTGCTAATTATTTAAAATTGTTAATCTTGGCTTGCTCTCTGTGGGTAAGTGATTCCATTTGGGGGCCTGTTTCTTTTAGAATTGTGAAGTGCCTCAAAGTGTATGTATCATTGAAAGTGGCTGTTCTGTGAAGGAAGGAAACCAGAGAATGTCACCTCCATATATACCTTTTTGACATAAGAATTATTTGAATTGGAGGCAATTTATAAGCATGAAAGTCAGGAAAAGCGCTCTCTTCCCTCCCCCCACTTCTGCCTAAACGCAGGGTATACATTCTCCCTTATTGGAAACAACTCTAGACTCTTAGCCCATAGATGGCACCAAAGGAATCTGCAAATAAACCATACTCCATTAATTCCTTTCACAGATTGCCATCCTTGGAAGCCTAAAACTGCTTTAATTTATCCTATCATTTCTCTAAAAACTTATTATTTGTTGAATGCGAAGCCACCACTTTTGAGTTACTCTTGTTTTCTCCCATATGACCTGTGCATACATGTTAATAAATTCTTTGTCTCCTGTTAATCTGTCTTTTTTGTTACAGAGCCCCAGCTGAAAACCTCAAATGGGTAGAGGTTAAAAAAAAAAAAAAATTCTCTCTTGGTAGCCCTTTGTGTGTTATTTCTGGCATAGTTTTGATAGGCCTGCACTTCTGCTTCTTACTTTCCATGGACATTATGCTTGTGGGTGTAGGGGAGCAGAATTTGCCACCCAAAATATGTCTTCTTTAGCATAAGGATTATTTTAGGCTGATTATTTTTAAGAAACTGCAAACACAGAAGGTCTGAAACTGGGTAGAAGTTACTTATTGTAAGAAACATTTACATTTAGGGCATTTGGGTGGCTCAGTCGTTAAGTGTCTGCCTTCAGCTAAGGTCATGATCCTGGAATCCCAGGATCAAGTCCCGAATCAAGATCACTAGTCAGCAGGAAGTCTGCTTCTCCCTCTGACCCTCACCCCACTTGTCTTCTCTCTCTCTCAAATAAATAAATAAAATCTTTTAAAAAAAGAAACCTTTACTTTTATAAGGGAAATCTCCATTTGTTAGGGGTGTCTCCCTTACTGAACCAAGAAGAAGGTACCTCAATTTCTAGAATATTATCAGTGGAGAAGGCATGGACTTAAATCTACATAACAACCTTATCCTTGTTGGGACACCTGGGTGGTTCATTGGGTTACAGCCTCTGCCTTCAGCTCAGATCATGATCCCAGGGTCCTGGGACTGAGCCCTGCATTGGGCTCTCTGCTCTGTGGGGAGCCTGCTTCCCTCTCTTTTTGTCTTGCCTGCCTCTCGGCCTACTTGTGGTCTCTGTTTGTCAAATAAATAAATAAAATTTAAAAAACAAAACAAAACAAAACAAAAAACCCAACAACCTTATCCTTGTTTATTCTGCTTTTCCTGGTAACCCCCCATAACTGACCGTCCACCCCCAGCATCTTTTTTTGTCTTTAGCTGAAGATGGTAATGAAGGTGATGACTTTGGCCATTTGGGGGAGTCACTCAGTTTTCCTAGGTCTCTCCCTTGTATACAGGAAATATACATGTTATTAAACTTTTGTTTACCTCCTGTTAATCTGTCTCATGTCAATTTAATTCTTAGACCAGCCAAAAGAATCTTGTAGAGCAAAGAAAAATTTTTCCTCCCCAGTGTGAATCACTATGTTACTAGGTGTTGGAATCTTTTTTTTTTTTTTAAGGATTTTATTTATTTATTTGACAGAGAGAGACACAGCGAGAGAGGGAACACAAGCAGGGGGAGTGGGAGAGGGAGAAGCAGGCTTTTTGCTGAGCAAGGAGCCTGATGCAGGGCTCGATCCCAGGACCCTAGGATCATGACCTGAGCTGAAGGCAGATGTTAACCATCTGAGCCACCCAGGCTCCCCCAGGTTTTGGAATCTTGATGGTCAGAATCTTGGCCATTAAGTGTGCCCTCCAGAATGTGGTGCTACAGCATTTAAATGAGTAAAATAATTAAAGGCAAAAAATATGTAATATGATTATTGTTATTTCTGAGTGATAAGATTGTAGGATTATATAATCGGGAAGTTGAAATTAATAGGATTTCATAAAACAATAGAAGGGCACTTTACTTTCTCTTTTAGCTGTACTTGCAATATTCATCTGTCAATTAGGTTTTTTTAGTTAGCTTTTAGGTTTTGGTTTTTGGGGTTTTTTTTACCTGTACCTAGATGAAATCTTGGATGAATTCAATGATGTTTTCAATCAGTCTTGGATGATACAAGTTTCTTTGAACAATTTTAGCTAAAAGATCAGTTTCATTTTAGTAATTAAAAATGTCTTTAGTAATAAAAATATCTGGTGTAATAATCAATATTTCATTTAAAGTAAAAAAAAAAATCCATCTTTTTCTTTCTCCTTGACCACATCCAAATATGGTTATATCTCAATTACTCACTAAGTCAATATCTGCTATTTATTTAATAATATAAACTATTTTTTCTTCAAAATCAACTAGATTTTCTAGATATTTTTTCTTTATTAAGGGTGAAGGATTTAATTAATTCTCTTTGTACCTGTTCTTCAGTTTTAGAGATGTTCCACAGATAAATGTTCCGTATTTATGTTAAATGTTCACAGATGATTTTTTTTCAATTGTTCAGATATCCATTAGAATCTCTCAGTCTACCATTCTGGGGCTTCAGTTGGACTCTACAGTTGTCCTGAAACTTACTTCCATTGTTTTCCTGAACTGGATTACTGTTTCTTGGAATTAAGTTAATTTTTCATTTTCACTAAAGTTCTTTTCCAGTTGCTATTTATATCCCCAATGTACTGAAATTTCTTGACTTATGGCATGGATCTTTAAATATTTTTTATGCTAGATATAGGTGAGATTTTTAGTTTGTAGGCTCCAGATCTGAGAATTTTTCTTATATTTTTGGTTTTTGCAGTCTTCTCTATTTCAGGTTTTTTATTGCTGGAATCTGTATTTGCTGAAAGGACTGTTCCTGAGCTGTGCCTACTTCTTCATAGCTTCCTGTTCTTATTTATGAGTGCAATATAATTTTCAATCTCTCAGTATAATTATAGTTGTTCAAAGTTTTTGTGTCCATTTTTGTCTTTTATGGCCAAATCAAATTTCTTTTTTTTTAAAGATTTTACTTATTTATTTGACAGAGAGAGAAATCACAAGTAGGCAGAGCAGCAGGCAGAGAGAGAGGGGGAAGCAGGCTCCCCACAGAGCAGAGAACCTGATGCGGGGCTTGATCCTAGGACTCTGGGATCATGACCTGAGACAAAGGCAGAGGCTTAACCCACTGAGCCACCCAGGCATCCCTCAAATTTCTTTTCAAAAAAGCTTGAATTCTTTTTCTTCCTTTCACATGGGATACTTTCCTGAAATGTGTGGTAATCCTTGCCTCCAGTCAAGAGGTAAAATTTCTCAACTGGCAGACATTAGAGCCAGCTTTTTTACCAGAAAACTTCCAGAAAGCTCTCTTCTCTGCTCTTTGGTTTAGAGCAGAAAATAGGTCCCGTCTCCTAATTACTGGTGTTTGGGGCTAGGATAGGGAAGATCCTGAGAGGCCCACAGTTCTGGATATGGTTTTTCACTCAGACTCCCTGTGCCTCAATCCTGTCTTCATTTGTGCAGTTGTACATCCTTTCTGGGTCACTTTACCCAGAGATCAAACCCCCTGTGCAGTGTATTTGGTTACATAAGAGAGGAAAAGTAAAAGGGGAGAATAACCAGTTTGTGCACAAATTTTCAATGCGTTTGTTTCCAGGTCCATACCTCTCTAG